CGACTTATTCCAGAGGCACTATATTGCAGAGGGTAGAATTTAACTCAACAGCTTGAAATGGATGAATAAGACCAAAGCGGCCAGCTTGGAAAAATGGCGAACAACATAAACCGATACATCGGATTTGTCCTCTACCCGACCTTTGTGATTTTTAATGAGAAAATAATGACCAAACCGCTCCGGAGTTTACCATGTGTTGTGGGGTTATATTAATACTTCAATTTTTATCTGCAGGTTTACACCACGTTTGTCCTTTGTATCATTGTATGAAGCCTATGTATCATTAGAATCTCATGTTTTTTCTGCTTATATCTTGATGCATACACATACACAACTCAAGATCTATTTACCATAAAATTTTGGTTTCTTGTCGATGAGATATTCTTTTGATCGCCCAAAAAGGAGGAGATGACGAAATATCACAATACCAAGTAGTACTAAAAGGTGATAATCATTGAACCATCACAAATCCAATTCGTATCCACCGGATTGTTTGGAGTTACTTCCCTGCACTCAATGTGAGGACAGCTTATCGAATCCACATCCCGTTTTTCTTGAAGGTTGGTGTTGTAGCGGCCAAAAAAACTCATACATCGCCATTAAGGTGCAGCCGTCGAGAAAACAATCAGGTCCAGGGAAATGAATGAATGGAGGCGGATGGTAACTCATATTACTCCCTGTCCCGGAGGATATTAGTAAGGCAATATGTTCGTTATGATGTAGCCGAAATAACAAGGCATGCATGAAACGCCCTTTTTATTAAACGAGAAGGAGATCTTCATCTCGCCAACGACCCGGTTTATTTAATATGGAGGATATACGGAGTATGTATAAGCGCACGATGGAGGACAACTTGGCCATATCTTTCCGACACGTTGTATTTAACGCCCTTCAGGGTTTGTCAATTATTTCATGCGATCTTGATTTGGGCCAGACCAACAATCTGTATTAATAAAAAAATATAACAGCATTCTTAGATTGCCGTTGGTTTGTGGTATAAAAAAGCAATCATGAAAAAGTGGGCTACCGTAAACCCTTCCTTCACCATAGGAAAAAAAAAAAAATCAAAAACACAGGCGTGTACGGAGTACAGCCACTTACATGGCGGCCGTCATTTCAGTTGAGTTGAACGAAGGACTCACCAAGGGAGCACAAAGCGTGGAATCGGCATCGAACGGAGACAGAAGGACACAAAATGAAATTTAAAACTGGTGGCTTCATTTGACGTGCGAGTGCGTAATACAGACCTTTCCACACCTATACGCCTTGTCTTACGGTGCGAACATCCCTTCCGCGTTCGTCTAGCATGAGAGGGACAACGAAAGGCGGATAGCCGGTTGGGATTTCAATGGAAACCCGCGCCAAGGAGGCTTGCCCGAGCGGCCAGTGAAGGCGCTATTCGCTATTCTTCATTATTATGGAGAACGGAGTAGTGATTCGTGGTGATTGCGCAAAGCCTGGTTTGTTCACTGGAGCATGTGTGCATGATCTTTTGACGATCACATAACTAGACCCAGCGCAGGAAATAATTTAATGAAGGGAGCTGACTGGGGAAGCTTATTGGTAGGAGATACCAACCAGGAGGAAGGATTAAATTGACATAATACGAAAAGCTCCGTCCAGGAGGCAAGGCCTAAGTGTAAGCTAAATGGAGAACAACAGGGCCTGGAGTGTCCCCTATCCTGCCTGGCACTCCATCTTCTTACGACACCAGCTGCAAACAGATGCCTGATTGGGCCAAAATGATGCTCATCGAGTGGAGGCCCCAAGAGCGACCAAGACTTGGGGCGCTGGTTAGCGGTGCTACTCTACCAATCGCATCCTGGTTGACCGTCGCTAGTCAGGGGAAACACGGCAGACAAGAGGAACATCCCATCTTCATTCCTTGGAGACCAGGGGCAACACCAGCTCCACCCAACAGGGGTTTCCCCTTTTCCTCCTCTTTCGCACGATGGAGCGATTTTCAGTGCAATCTCCCCGGTGATACAAAAGGGACCTGGCTGCCTCCTCGTGGCCAAGTTCTTTTCCTTTCTTTCTTCTCTTTCTCTCCTCTCCTCATCCACTCTTCTTGACGGTATTCACGCTTTCGACTTCGGTCATCACACTCTTTTATACCAAACTCAAGCCAACTGCTACATTCTTTAATCTAATCACGACCACCAACCACTTCTTTTTAACGACTTTTACCGTGTTCTTCGGAAATTACTTAATTCATTCAAGATGCGTTTCGCCGTTGCCTCCGTCGCTCTCTTTGCTGGTGCTGCTCTCGCCCTCCCAGGCTACGAGCAGTCAACTGTTTACTCTACCCATGAGGTCACTGTGACCGACTGTGGCCCTGAGGTCTCTGACTGCACTGGTGGTCACCCAACCTCCACTGATGTTGTTGACCCAACTGGTTATCCAAGTGATTACCCAACCACCACCGACGTTGTTGACCCAACTGGTCCTTACCCAACTGGAACTGGTGTTGAGCCCATCCCAACTGACTACTCTACCGCGTACGTCACTGTGACCGACTGCCCACCAGAGGTCACCGACTGCCCAGCTCACTCCACTTATGTGACCAGCAGCGTGTACCCAACTGGCACCGGTGTTGAGCCAACTGAGGGATACCCAACCGAGCAGCCACCATACCCAACCAGCACCCCATACGAGAGCACCTCCGTTGTCACCTACACCACTTGCGTGCCAACTGTGACCTCGTCCACCATCACCTACTACCCAACTGATACTCCAAGCGGTACTGGTGTTCCCCCAACTGGTTACCCAACTGGAACTGGTGTCCCACCACCATAGTAAGTTTTCTCTCTCTTACTACCTGATAGATCTAGCTTAGATCCGCTTTAGTTTTCCGAATACTAACTCTCCAATCAACAGCCCAACCCAGTCCACCCCACCAATCAACAACGGTGCTGGTAGCCTAGGCTTCTCCGCCCTTGCAGGTGTCGCCGCCATCGTTGCTCTCTTTGCTTAAATTTCTACCATAAATAACTCCACACTTTCTCTTCAGAGACTGCAGCTGGTGTTGTTTCCTTTGTTTATTTTAAGTGAGATCGGGTCATCTTTCGTAACGATCATGGCTTGCTGGGGTTCTTGAAGGGTCTTCTAGCGTTGAGCACGTACGATCTATTTTTGTTTTTTGTTCTAATAGACGAACCGGATAGATTGTCTATCTAACTTTATGATCCTAATTAATTGGTGCCTGTGAAGAACTGATTTTTCCCCTTTTTTGTTTCGTGTCAAAATAGAGACTCTTCAGAACTGTTCAATCTACCTCACATTATTTTTTTATATTGTTTCCCTAGGAGTTACGACACCGACATCACAGGCTTTTAATGTCTTTGCACCTTTTTTTTTCTTGTCCTATTTTCGATCTATGATATCCAGAGTCTGGTGGTTCTAACAGTAGCTACAAACGAATCTAATTTTTAGTCTTTGCAATTCTCGTAACAAAATCTCTCTCCATCTAATACTGGCTAACGACGGAGTACTTGCTATTCATTGTGGGTGATTGGGCCTCCTTTGCATCCTTCAGTGGCAATTTTAGATTACCATGCAGACCGACCCTGGGTTCCCTTGTCTTCATGCTGTGTACCTGCAGCAAGGAAGATACTCCCGATCTAACCTGGCCCTTTTCTGCTCAGTTTGCAAGGCTATTTGTTCCCTCAATTCCTTTAACCAGCCTGTTAGACTAATTACAAGTCAACTATTCCGTCTCCATTAACTTTAAACCCCCTGCGTCGCATCGCCGCCAGTTTAGATTTTCGAATCTGTTAAGTGTTTGTGTATTAGTGGCTCTGCAAATAGCATGCTGGAACGAGTTATATATTAGTAACAATTCCTTTCGGCGAATATATTACTCATGAAACGGAACAGGACAGCAAATGCCTCATTAAATCCCGACTTCGCCTGAGTTAGGCGCTGGTTGTACTGCTCATTGTATTCTGCACTGATCTATTCATTCTATTTCGTACATCCATCGTACAGCCGCCGTCGTACAGAGCAATTTTTATGATTTATTCCTACCTACACCCCACGCTCGTATTGATGTCTCACCTCCCTGCATGGCCAGCCTAGACCAGCTGGCATGATAGAGGAAGAATTTGGACACCTATATTTCTAAGCCCTGTTTGGATTATTAGTTAGCTGATGGAGGTTGGAAAATGCACATATATACGGAGTAGACTTCCTAGTTCTTTACTGGCTACCTAGGTACTCCATAAATGCACTGATAAGCTGGCTGAGGCACTCATTTACTAAGGTTTACACGCCAGGGAGTGTAATTCCAGCATGCCAGTCCAATATATCTCGATGGCGGAATAGACCATTTCCTTTTCTTTGGGTACCTTAATTCGTTCGCGAGCAGTGGACTATTACATCGTCAATATACAATCTTACAATGGTGACACATAATATTCATAGGTAATTGTCTACCAGTGCTGTACCATTCATATGGCAGCATAAATTCCTATTCCTTTTGGCTCATCGTAACCAGCTGGCGTTGCTCTCAGGTTTTATCCACCAGTTGGCAGATAGATGCAGTCCCGTAGCAACACTAGCATCACTATTTCGTATGCCTTGATCTCTCAGCCATCCTTAGAGACGGAACCTCACACACTCTTAAGTTATAGGGGAACTATACAATCAACTAAATCCGACGACACTGCACGGCCTGGTTTTGCCTTTCGCCATAATTAGCTCGAGATATTGGACGATACTTCGACAAAATACGTCAAAGCTTGCTGGGCCCGAATTAAGCAGTAGACGCGGGACCAACATATGGGTTGACTGTACTTCGTATGGAGTAACTAGCTAACGATTCTATCTTTACCTTACTAAGGTTCAGTAGTTAACTAACTAACTAACTAAGTGTTATTGACATAATATACCCGGTTCAATGTTTTGTTCGCTAGAGATGATAGTGAATGAACATGTCATGTTAGCCGATATTTTTTAGTTTAGACTTCTATATTATCATTGCTCCAAAATACCACAACAAATCCGATGTGGTGTATCGGTAACATCATTGTCTCTCACACAATAGCGCCGGGTTCGACTCCCGGCATCGGAATTCTTTTTTTTTCGCTTTTTTTTTTGTTTTTTGTTTAACATTTTAATATTGATAATTTGCTCTTTCTTACCAACAACTCAAATATTCTTTCTTCATCAACACATCATAGATCTATTTGAAAGCTACCTCGGTACCTATATCCATCCATCCATAACATCCATAGAATACTCCAAATACTCTCTATCCATAACACAAGAAAGAATGAAAGCAACCCTTTTTGAACCCAAATGCGAACGCCAACCAAGTTGAAAGAGGATAAACAACAACAATGGAATAAACAAAGTAACAAAAAAAATCTCCAAAAATGAAGCTCCTTTGAAAACAAAATCAAACCCAGTCAAAAGCACAAAAAAGCAAGGAAAAAGAAAGTGACCGAGGATGACGTTACGCCCGAGAATAGAGTGACTGATGTATCGCCGGACATGGCTGCAGCGAAACCTAGCTCACCAGCTGGCTGATAGCAGGCATCTCTTGTAAAGCAGGTGATTTCATCGATGGATCGGAAGAGATTTCTTGGGATAGTTTGCTGGAAGTGCTAACAAAATGTAGGATCGGTTTCTCTCTCGCCGCTCGTACTGGCGATGAGAGCCGGGGTCGAGAACTAGGCGGTGATCCCTCGTCACTTGTCGTGCTACTCCCGCGTCGTCTCTTGAGAGACTCGATAGGTTTTGAAACATTGTTCGTCTTATTATAGCACTAAACGGTTGTTAGAAAACATGCCCATTGGGTGGGTTTATTTCAATTAATGTTTTAAAAAGCTCACCTTATAAGCATGTCGAAACCAAGTCGTCCCCTTCTTTTTACTACTGACGAGCCCAACCCATTGGTCACAGCTCCCACATAATCCTTCCCAAATATTTGCATTCCCCTCGCTTCTTCTAGATTTTATTGGTGGCGGAAGCGGCCTTCCTGAAACTGCACTCACCCCATGCGTGAAGCTTTTGTCGTACCAGAAAGCCGAATTTTTCAGGACTAGCCATCGGCCGGGCTTGCATACTCCGCACCAACCTTCGCGCTTATTGCCTTGCCCACGAACCCATCTCGGCGTGTATAGATCATTCTCAAATCGAAGGTCCTGTTTGAATGGAATCATTTCTGGGTCAGAAGGATGCATGTCTTCCTCCGGTGGCGATGATTGCTCGTCGCTGAGGGGAGCAAATAGATCTGGAGGGTTGACGTGTCCGGAAAAATGATCGATATCGTGATGCTCGCGCACTTTATCGCTTTTCAAAATCCTTGAGACTGCATGAGGCGCTACTGGGCTTGGAGCGACGAACTCTCCAGTGCTCACACAAGACCTGAGCATTAACGGGGGACTGTGCGTAGAAGTACTCGGTACTATCGGAGTTTCGCCTTCTGAAGTGGTACGTGCTGAAGAAGGATACCCGGGATGGAGCTGGATTGGTTTTCTAGGCGGAGACCCAGTGAATGGAGAACTGCTAGCCCGTTGGCTCAAAAATGGAGAAGGGCGATAACTAGGATTTGGCGAAGCGGAATTTCCGCACCACCTCGAACCAGCTTTATATACCGCAGGATAAAGAGGTGCAGGTGATGATATTGGAGAGAGTGGCGTCGAAGAGAAATATAACGAACTACATGGAGTGAAGGCAGAGCTGCAGGATGTGGAATCCGAAAAGGCAGAGAGGCTCGTGAGAGACGGGGTACTGCCAGACAAAGTGTATGGCGATGGCGCAATTGAAACCGGAACATCAGTGTTTAGTGTCAGATTTTGCTGTCCGTTTGGGCGTGGAGAACCCTTCCAGCTCGACGAGAGCTCGTCATCTTCGGGTGACTTGTGATCTGTTAACCCGGCATACGTAGGGAAATATTCCTGTTCACTCGTGAAATCATATTTGAAGAGGCCTACCGCAACAAGATTAGCGAACTGAAGTAGCCAGATAAGGATGCAATAGAGAATCAAACAGCTCGAAGCTTTCTTACCATGTGGGAGAGAACCGCCAGCTACTGGTTCATGTGATGGTTCATACCCATTCAACAACAAATTTTGCGGGACTGGCATTTCATAAACCTCCGGTTGGGAATATTTCATAGTATCCGAAGTCAACGGTAGTGAATAGATATTTTCGTATGGTATTCCCCGTTGCTCCGTTTGCTGCGTCACTGGTGGCAGGTTACATTCCCAATGGTATTTGGTGGGGGGTACAGTATCGCCAGCCTCGATTCTTGCTTCAATAAGTCCTCCGGTGGGAATCCCTGAATTTTCTGGAGAACCGATGAAACCATCTGCTAGTCCCCTTGAAGCCGGAACAAACTCTCCTCTAAAACATAAATGAAGATCTTAGTCAAGACGTTCCTCAAACATGGAATAAAATATAATTTACCGTCGTAGACCTCTGCCCGAGCCGTTCTCGCTGTTCGACATGTCGTTCGGAATGGAAAAAGAGTGAAGTATAGTTATATGTCGAATAATAGAGAAATGATCTCAAAAGCAGTATTAAGTTCTGTACCACGCCTGCGAGGCACAAAGGGAAAATATAACAAACAATGGCCCTGGTGATTAAAACCCGATATGTATGGACTCTGGCCTGCAGATTATAAGCGACGATGTTACCAGAACTCGTTTAGCCGCGAACACAGATCCAGCTGCTGTATGGAACGAAAGGGAGCCAGGCGTTCAAAAAGAGAGACTAGAATATCTCATAAAGGAGTGAATGCACGATGCTTGTAAAGTAATTAAAATAATATATATATATAAATGGAGAAACCAGCTCCGATTTAAAAAAAAATAGAATAGTATGGAAATATTGGGTACCTAGACCATCATTGGGGTAAATAATATCCCAACGGGCCTTAACTACTCCTTGAAGAAAGAAAGAGCAAAAACCAACCAGGAAGGTTAGATCGAGGAAGATAAACGGGGAGGATGGGAAGTTAAGTATGGATAGGATAGAAAGCTAAACAAGCCCGCACCTCCCACTTGTTTCTATAATTAACTCACCGTCCTTTCTCAAGAGTTGAGAAAGTTCCTCTTCTTTGAAGAGTGCGGGCAGCGGGCTGGCCCACTCACGGCGGCAAGAAGAATGATGGTCCAGTAAAAGGATACCATGCACTCCGTACGCCGTCGTAGTTACGGGACGGGGTATATGTGACCATGACATATAACACTCTTTTCACTATTGTGCTCCTCTTTCAGCTTAACTGCAACTCTAAAGCTTGAGTTAGCGACGAGATTCTGAAAAGGGTTAGACTGTGAGGGAAAAGCATGGGCGCAATCTTCAAAGTCGGACAGTGGTTGCATGATTTGGTGGCTTTTGCGCAAGGGTGGGGTGGCAGGCTCCATCTTCGGGATTAACATCGGATACTCTTACTCCGTACTCCCTGGGTCAGTTACTAAAACCACAGAGACACAGGTATAGCACAGTTCACCAGGTCGATCGCATGCTCTAAGGGACAGATAGTCATGTAGATACAGAGAACACATCACATGAAAATTCCGTACTGCCAGTTGAAAGGAGTTCTACTCAGAATATTAAGATGGGTAACTACGGGGCTAGGAATGCTCAGAGGGGATATTCTGCAGAACCAGGTTCTAGTAAGATAAGGTCTTGGCTGAGGAAAAAGCAACTCTCTTAATTGGTACCTGGAGATCTCTAACCGCCCACCATTCTGTATAAGCCCTAAAATAGCAGCCAACCACATGGCTCTGCGATGCATCCGGCACAACTTGGTGGGACGGATAAGGTTGGGGTCCTCATCTCAGTTCGGACGTGTGGCTGCTCTTAGCAGGATAAATAACCAGGGGTTGCCCATCCAGGACCACATTCTCCAACGTTTGCCCATTTTTCAATGCAAGACACAGATGGAAGCGCCCCTAGCAACTTAACGTTCTTGGGATGCAGAACAAGGGAGGGAATGCCAGGGAAAAGTCAGGGCGAGTTCCCCCTTTTGGCCAAGGGGCATGCATTAGTGTGGTCAGGGCACTAACCGCCAGAGAACATTGTCAAGCCCCCTTTCCTTTCCTTCGTACTTTGAATACTCAATGCATTCGACAGAAGTACTGACATTTCATCCTACGCGCCCCCAAACCCTGCCAGAAGAAACCCTAATTACCTTGCATTTTCATTGTTATTATTTTTTTTCATGCCTCCTGCTAGTTTATTGAGATGTTTCTAATTACAGACCAATATTGCTTTTTTCATAGCGTTGATCTTGCACAGCAACCCAACTTTTTTGTTTATTTTATTGTTAATGTTACGGTGGATATCCCCTCATCCTCATTCTCATCCTAGCTACAGAACAGTGTACGCAAGCGATTAAAATATAGAAACGTCGAAGATCAGTAGAGGACGCCTTGAAAGGGGGCCAAAACGAAGTTGTCAATGGGATGGATCAACCAACTATCCATCCGTGAAACGAGCCTAGATTCTAGATAGAAAGTCTAGGCATCTTTCTATAGCAGTGAAACAATATACGTTCCGGATTAGTTTCTAACCCCCTCTTTACATGGTATCTGTGGACGAATGGTTACGACGGCTTTGCCGCTCTTTCTCAACGAATAATTGATAAAATTTCCCATCCATTTGAAACACCTTATGCTCGGGAATATGCCTTGAATATTACCTGTGAATGGAACACGAGGTGAGAGAGATAGAACAATCGCACAATAATAAAAAATCAGTCAATCTACCTTATGGAAAAAACCGAGTTAATTCTTGTCAACAGCTGTGAAAATCGAAGTAGAGACTATTTGCAAACTTGAGCAGCGTCCGTTAACTTAACCCAACGAGACATAGAAAGAATGCCCTGTTATGAATAAGGAGCGTTGAAGCATGTAGTTTCTTTTTTTTAATCCCTTGATGGAGCCACCCAACTCACACTGTTCTCAAGGTGGTGGAAGAAAGCATGAAAAAAATCACTCGAGAGTAAAAAAATTCAAGTACATCATTGGCAAAATCAATTGAAAAAACTGAAAAAACAAAGCCTCAAGTTGATGGTTGCTGAAAGAAGGTGGCATCAATATATCAGAAAAATGACTGAAC